GAAGGGGATGTGGGAGGAGGAGATGGAGCGGGGGAGGTGGGGGGGGAGGAGGAGATGAGGGAGGAGGAGGAGGTGGGGGAGGAGGAGGAGGTGGGGGAGGAGGAGGAGAAGGAGATGTGGGAGGAGGAGATGGGGGAGGGGAGATGGGGCAGGGGGAGATGGGGCAGAAGGAGGAGGTGGGGCAGGAGGAGGGATTGAAGGAGATGGAGCAGGAGATAGGCAGGAGGAGGAGATGGGGCAGGAGGAGAAGATGAGGCAGGAGGAGGAGATGAGGCAGGAGGAGGAGGTGGGGCAGGAGGAGGAGATGGGGCAGGACAGTCTCATTTGGTGTCCTAGGTGGGCCAGGCCCAAAGGCATTGGCCACGTCACCCCTTTCCTGCCAGAATGCAGCCGGGGTGATGTGTCCCCACCGAGCCCAGAGGTTGGGCAGGTGCCTGGGGAAACTGAGGTCAGCGGACTCTGGCCAGGACCCGGGCTTCCCACTCAGGAGCCAGGTCTCCAGGGCCAGGGCTCCTCCTGGAGGGAGTGCAGTCAGGCCTGGGTGGGCTGACCTCAGGGCAGTCCTTGAGGGTCCAGGAGCTTGGCGGGGAGACCCCGCTTTCCAGGAGCGGTTCTGCAGACCTCTCGGTTGTGCCTCCCTCTGGGGCAAGGCTCCTGGTCAGGTGCCCCCCGCCTGCTTCACTCGGCCTCTTTGGCTGGTGTCTCATCTGGCTCGATGGCAAGGTGGCCGAGGGCCAGGGTCCTGAGTACACTGGGCAGTGCTGGGGGAGCAGCCCTAGTGTACAAAGGGTGCTCCCCGGGGAGCCCCTCTGTGTGTGCCTGTGCCCGCGATCCAGGAGTCTGCAGGGTGCATCCCTGTCCAGTCCATCGGGGCCACCCAGGTCTCCCCTTCAGGCAGGGTGAGCCACTGCTGTCCTTGCCCAGCGGCCTTTCAAGTGGGTGGTGTGAGCCTGGAGCCTGGAGCTGTTACAGGAGATGGGTGTGAGTGCACAGTGAGTGTCTTGTGAGTGTGTGCATAGAGAGTGTGGTGTGTCTCTCATCTGGTGTGCATAGTGTGTTGCATGTGCATTGGAGTGAGTGTGTATGCAAGCATGTGCCTGTCTGTGTCCACATGTGTCCACCCCTGGGCAGCCTGGGGGGGAAAGGGTGACCCAGGGCAGGGCCGCTGGGCCTGAGCAGGGAGGAAGGAGGCCCCAGGCCAAGGAGGCTGTAAGAGACAGCAACCCCTGCAGAGCTGGGGAGCGCCTGGGCTTAGATGGCACTGGCTGTCCAGGAACAGAAGAGAATGGACAGCAGAGTTACTGCGGTTGTTGGCCCTGGTGGYAGGACACTAGGAAGAAGGAACATCAAGAGGTGCTGAGGACAGTGGGCAGAGGGCCTGAGTCAGCTCTGATTCCCGGGGAGGCCAGGCGTCACCCTGGCTCCCTGTTGGAGAAGGGTTTACAGGTTAGGTAAGAAGAAGAGTCCGGAATGAAGTGCCAGTGCCCCTGGGCCAGCAGACCACTCTGTGGTCATTTCCTGGCTGTTAAGTACATAATGGCAATTCACTTACTTGGTGGTTGGGTTCCAGGCCTGCTGGGTAACAGAGGTGGTAGGGAGGCCCAGAGGACGCTTGACACTGCCCACTTGGTGCCCAGGGTACTAAATGCATCAGTCGAAACACTTGAGGCGGCTCCTCTAGGAAGAGATTTGTTTAGCTCCAGCTTTGGAGGCCAACAGTCCAAGCTTGGGTAGCCCGGCCGCCTCAGCCTCTGGTGGAGGGTAAGGTAGCCAAGGGCCAGGGTCCTCAGCATGCTGGGCAGTGCGGTGTGGAGAGAGAGAGGGCAAACAGGAGGTCCAGGCCCCAGGGGCCTGTATGACTCCAGGCCTCCACCTGGTCCCCTGCTGAAAGGCTGCACCACTGCCCCAGGACACTGACCCCTGGGGCCAACCTTCCTGTGCATGAACCCTCAGGACACCTGAACTGTTCCCAGCCATGGGAGAAATCACCCACCACACCGGGGTGGCCACAGACCTTAGTCCACCAGGTCGGCTGAATTCTCTGGCCTGGGCCTTGCAGAGGAGACAGCTCTGGGCCGGCTCCAGGCGGGGTTTTGGGGGCAGGGCACGGYGGCACTATCACAGTGGACTCATCAAGTGTCGGCTGGCCCTGGCCTCCTGGGCCATCCAGTTAGGAGTGGGACAGTCTGCGTTCCCCGGGAGGGACACCAGTTCTCAGCTCTGGAGAGATCTGGGTCACCTGGGCCTCCACCGGAAGGGTGCTAACCCAACTGTGGGAATGGGCAGAGGAGGGGAATGGGTGGAGGCTGGGAGGCTGGGCCTGAACCCCAGGAGGTGCTGAGGGCCTGGGCTCCCTGCCCACATGGAGAGGAAACACAGGGCCGCCAGGCTGAGGTGGGTTCCGGCGACACCCAGGAGCACTGGCTCTGGGGGCTGGGGTCATGAGGGCCTGGGCACGGTGCAGGCAGCCTGGTCACAGCGGCCTGGGACCTCACTCCTGGAGGGGCGGAGGCTCAGAGTGGGAGAAGGCAGGTCCGCAGGGTCTGGGGGAAGGTGGTGCCCTGCAGGTGGTGCCTGCCGTAGAGACCCAGAGACGAGCCCTGCCTTGGCTGTGGACGGCAGCTGCGCTCTTTTCTGGTCTCTCCGGTGGCAGTGGCAGTGACAGTGGCACCCATGGCCAGCAGCCCTCCCCAGGGGAGCCCAGAGTCCTACACACCAGAGTGCAGCTTGTGGCCCCGAGATGGCCCCGTCCCTGGCATGGTGGGCACGGAGAACCGAGGGGCAGAGCCTGCTGGCACGCTCCCTGCACTGCCCGAGTGGGAGGCCTGCCGGGGGCCCTCGTCTGCAGGCCGTGCCTGGCCCTGGCGGGTCCAGCGGGGGCTGAGCCCAGGAGTCCCAGAGCCCGACCCCACAGCCTGAGGCCCAGGGCCAGGGTCGATCCCAGGGGGCTGGTGAGGCCTGAGGCTTGCTCTCTGGTCCTGCCTGTCTCCTGGGGACAGCACAAGGGACTGAGATGTGCAGCTGACCTCACACCCCAGCATGGCACCAGGCGCCTCCAACTCACAAGAACCCCTGAGTGTAC